GGAGCGCCCCACGGGGGTGGGACAGACCTAATGGCTGGGAAGCCCTTGCTACCCCTTTACCTGTGTGCTTGGCAGGTCACAGCCCCATCAGCAAAGCAGCAGAGGTGTTTTCTGCTCTGGGACAGAGCCCGCCAGGGGAGTTTGTTCCCTGACCCTAGGGGTGGGAAACCTCAGGCCTGGGGGACGGATGCGGCCCCTGGCTTGCCTGAATCCGGCCCCTGGGGCTCAGGGCCCCCCTACAGCACTGGAAGCCCACACTGGTGCTCCAGTCCCCACGCTCCTCCCGCTGTCTCACTGTGGGGACTGGAGCCCACAAAATCGACAAGCCTGGGCCCCCAGGATCTGGTGTGTGCGGGGAATGTGGGGGGGTCTTTCTCCTTCCCAGTCAGAGGCCACATCAGAGGGGTTATTTTCGGGGGGTTTGTTGGGGGGTTTTTTGGTTGGCTGGTTGGTTTTTTGCCTCTCGTGTGTGCAGCCCCTGGCTGCTTTTTCTGTAGGTCAGCGGCCCCCGACCCAGAAAAGGTTCCCTGCCCCCGCTCTCCTGTCTGCAGGCCCTGGGAACTGCCCAGATGCCAGACAGGCAGGCGGGGGAGGCGGGTGGGACTCCCCCGTGAGCTCTGGCAGCTGTGACTCCCGGCCGGCTCCGCGGGGCAGGGAGGGTGGAGCCGATGCCCGGCTGGGAGTCACTCTTTGCATCCCACACAGGTCGCTGGCCCTGCTGGGGGCGCTCTCGCTGGCCGGGACGGGATTTGGGGCCTATAACATGGCCATGGCCGTCATGAGCCCGTGCCCCCTCCTGCAGCGCTCGCCGTGGGGCCACGCCATCATCGTGAGTAGCTGGTCTGATGTCCGCCCCCGCCCCCGCCCTGGTCCCCTTGGCCCGTCTCTGGAAAGTCTTTGCTGCCCTCCCTTCGGCTTTGGCACCCGGAGCCCGGCCCGGGGCCTTCCCCTTCTCGCGCTGCCCGCCCGTCCCAGCCCCGCACGGTGCCAACGGCGGCTGCCCGGAGTCAGCTGCCAGCGGCGTCTCTTTCTGCCCTGGCAGGTCCTGTCCTGGGTGCTCTTCACCGGGAGCCTGAGCTACGTGAAGGTGATGACCGGGGTGATCCTGCGGAGCCGGAGCCACAGCGCTCTCGTGTGGTACGGGGCGGTAGAGCAGCTGGGGTCTCTGACCGGGGCCCTCCTCATGTTCCCCCTGGTGAACATCTACGGCTTCTTCAAGTCCGCCGACTACTGCAGCCTGCAGTGCCCAGCCTGAGCCTGGCCGGCCGGGGCTCTGAGGGGAAGCTCTGGCCAGGAACTTGCTGGCCAATGACATCGTGGACGCCAGCGACTTCAGAAAACGCCTCCCCCCCCGTTCGCTTTGGCTGGGGCCCTCTCCCGGCTGCAGCCCA